TCGAAAACGTGCCACATCCGGATACCAAGTCTCGATAATGTGCGTTTCATTAATGAAAATATCTGCATCAATGTTAGCAGTGTTTATCCACTCTCCAGAAAAATCTTCTGGTAATCGACAACCGGGTTCAACTACTTCAGCCTTAACTGGTGTAATTCGTAAACGTTCAGGGCTTTTTTCGACGGTCTTAAGAGTATTACATTCGGCGGTTATCGAAACACCGATGTACAAATCGTCATCACGATTCTTTAAGAAGCATCTATACTTCTCGTCTTTCCGTGACTCCTTGGTATTTGCTACTGCGAAAAAATGGTTCTTATCGACAAACCAATCACCCAAGCAACTGTATTCTACCACTGGAAAAAGACGGTATTTATATTTTATAATATCCACAAATGTATATAAAGATACACTTTACAAGTTAAAAACAATTATTGTAAGTAAATAAAAATCTAATTACATCCATCATTGGTATTTTCCATTCCAGGACAGTGCTTGTAAGTGATATTAAATTTTTGGTTGGTTATAAGAAACTGGGATCCCGCAGTTTGACAAGATCTGATTTGTGCGTCTGGATGATTGCATTCTCCTGTAAATCTAAAGCGATTCTGAAATAATAGTAATATGATAATATGTAGATAATTTTTGTTTATAAAATTAAAAGATAAATAATTTTGTAACAATTTTTTTATCTTACTTGATAAGCAAACTGCCAAACTCCTTCCAGAGAAGATCTACAATTTACAGGTACGTAATTCTCAGAGAATAATGTTATCAAATGCTGATTCGCATTTAAACCTTTACAGACATTAGTCACAGTAGGTTCTACTCCAGGGGGTAAATTCACACAAGTCACTGCAACAAAATGCAACAATAATATTTTTTTTACACGGCATAGTTTCGAAGATATTGGCTGAAAACGAAAAAATCCATTTTCTTTATGGGGGTGTTTCACTCCCTGAACCTCGAGATAAACCGCTATAAAAAAATATGAGTCGAATATTTTTTGATGCTCTACAACATATCTAAGACTGGAATCAGACTACGCATTGAAAATTGAGATTTTGAAGATTGAAAGATTGAATTTTGGCTAATCAAAATAATAGGAGCTAAAATTTCTTTATCCTCATTGGTCAAATTTCAATTTTTGAACTTCAATCTCAATTTTCAATGCGTAGTCTGATTCCGGCCTAAAGCGCATCAAAATCGGTGAGGGACAGTTCCAACCGTTTCTTTGCAAGAGTTAAAATATTATTTGTAAACCAAGATTCTTCTAGGCAATAAGCTAATAAGATATTAGTGAGTGCAAAAAGTAATTGTACAAGGAAAATTTTTATAAAAGAGAAACCTTACTATGGAAAATAAACTTTAATTAGCTATAATCATAATTTAATATAATCATGCTGTCCTTATATAAACAAAAAATTTTGATACATTCCTGATCTTAGAAGTTTCTTGATTGTATGAATACTTATTGTGTATCGAATAATACATTTTATATTTTTGTTTATATATTTTTAAAATAATAAATTTTAATACACACATATGTTTAGATAAAGTAATTTTAACAAATATACAATCTATTTTATTCTTGGTTAGTAATTTGTTAATATTTACTTTTTAAAAATTAGATCTTTTTAAAAGATATCTTTCCTGCATAATACTTTTCGCATTCACTGTATATCTGTAAATTTTTTTTTTTAATAACAGATCCATTGAATTCATCACTTGCCTTCAAGTTTTTCCAAAACATTTAATGTCCTGACAAGTAGTTTTACACAATGATAACAGCTTTCATGCAAATCTCGAAACACGAATGTATAATTAACATGATATTCTTCTAACATGTTTACACATACGCCTCGTCCAGTCATACTGTTAGCGTTTATTTCTGTTACAGTACTTCTGGATTCCCATGAAAACCAAGATCCTCTGATGATCAGTGGAATTTGACAGCCCCTCTGTCCTGTAACTGTCAGATAATATTTTGTTAGCATTAATATATGCAATTATACTATTTTATCTAAATAATCTAATATTAAATATCATTTAATAATAAATACATGTGTACACATGTAAATTTTTTTATAAAATAATTACTCAATTTTAAACAAATTAAGCAAAATGTACATGAAATCTCTCAAATTTACACTAACTTGCTTGGATTTACTTTAACTTAAAATATAAAAGTAAAAATAACGAATAAACAAAATGTAAATATAATGCAATGAGATATTAAGTACTTTGTTATATATAAGAAATCTATCTAAACTAGTTTCTATATTCACTACAAGCAGTCATATTTAATTTTGTTACAATATTAACTTTATTCAAACTGACTATATTAAAACATTAACATAGAATAACTCAATTAAAGCAATAAACAACCAGTTTCTTACTCATATTCTTACATACCACTGAATGAGAATATAGAACAATAATAAAGCGATATCTGATATCACACACAAAGAAATTGGTCTGTTATTTTAACTATCCATACATTGCTCTGGATTTTACAAATTAATGATACAAACGAAGAAATTATTACTAATATTAATCAGTAATGACAAGCTCACCATGGTCACAAGGAAAAAAGGAGAAAATAAGAAAAACATTACTCAAATAACTTTAAATCTAGTCACTTCAAATAATTTAAATAAACTTGAATGCAATTATTGTTTTCAACGTATTTAAACTTAATCAAGTGACAAAATTATAAGTTGGTTTAGTTTATGCTTGCACATACTACACACACGATACAATACTTGACTCCACTTTGTCGAAATTTGTAAAAACTTACCATGCCATATAAGGTACGTTACGAGAGAGAATATATACAACCAGCGTTTCATCGTGCTATATCATTTGAATAGATGAAAATAAAGTGAAAGATTAGATTATTGTAAATTGTGATGACCGATAAATTTGAGGCAAACACACGCCCAGTACTATTAAGTACAGTTTTAAAGCTACTTCAAGTTCTGATGCATCCTTCAAGCGCGTTTTCATCGACAACTGTTCCTGCAATTTTGATAGCATTTGTACCATGGATAGCACCACAGTAATACTATATACAGTATGGCAACTCTCCTTCTCCTGATTTTATGTTGGCAAAAATGGAATGCGCATGCGCGAAATCGGTAAGTTCCCCAATAACGCCATCTAAACTTCTATCTCACTTCTTCTTATCCGTTCTCTCTATCACTCTCTGTCAGGACCATTTAAGCTTCCGTTTAAATAAACTGTTGCCTGGTTTATGCTTTATGCCTGGTTTAAGGCCGCAGCACACACTTTTGCATAACGCATAAAGCATGTGCATAAGGAATTTCATTGGCCCATTTTCTTATGTATGAGTCAATGGACCAATCAAATTCTTTATGTATATGGTTTATGCGTTATGCAAAAGTGTGTGCTGCGGCCTTTATGCTTCAGTCTTAATCCTAAGATCCTAAAATTCAACCAATAAAGCTGCCAGTTCTAACCGAAATTTGAACTGTATTGGCTGAATTTTAGGATTAAGTCCTTAAGACCGAAGCATAAACCAGGCATTAGGTTTCAGGGCCTCTTTCACCAACGTCGATTAACTTAATCGACGATTAGTTCATTGGAATTGACCAATCGCATTTATCATTTAGTTTTGACGACAGACGCGATTGGTCAATTCCAATGGACTAATCGTCAATTAAATTAATCGGCGTTGGTGAAAGAGGCCCTTAATCCCAAGATCCTAAAATTCAACCAATAAAGCTGCCAGTTCTAACCGAAATTTGAACTCTATTGGCTGAATTTTAGGATTAAGACCTTAAGACCGAAGCATAAACCAGCATTGTGTTTGTTATGTGCTTAGGAAGCTGAAATTTGAAGGAAATTAATATAATTGCCGTTTGTTTGAGTTGTGTTAGTTAGAGAAACTGTTTATAACTGGAAAGTCTGTTGAAATAAAATAGCAGGAGTGAAAAAAGTAAAAAAGTGAAAAAAATTAAGTGAAACGAGGAACGATCTCTCTTAAGAGAATAGTTAACTTATACAACTGTTGTATACGTTATCTATTCTCTTGGAAGCACTTTTAATCTTAGTTTTGTTCCTATAGTATTGCTGTGAAATAAGTGAGAGTTTAAGAAGATAAAATAAAACAATAGGGAAATGTGTGGAAGAAAACAACCAAGCCGTGCAGTATTATTGAAAATTATAATATGAAGCGACGATACTTTTTTAGAATTCTAAAAGAGCATGACAGGTATTGTTTTATAATTATTACTTTATGATATAAATTCATATTTTTATTAATTGTACTGTGTCTAGTCGTTTATATGTAGTGAACAATTTACACTGCTTCACAAAAAAAAAATGTAATCATTGCTCGCTGATTGGCCAATTTAAAAATAATATAATCTCATTGGTAAAGCAGTGAAAAGTTATTAGGCACCGGTCAATGTGAGTGGTGTGTACAATCGGGAATGTAGACAAACGGGATCCTCCCGTATTGTAGACGACGCATAAAAAAAATTGTAAAGATAGAAACTGATGATGAAAGTACATCCGATGAAGACGAAAAAAAGAGAGATACAAAAGTTCTTGTATGGACCTAGGTATCAATTTTCAAGTGTCTCGTTCAAAATTCAAATAGAAAATGCGTACATTATTTTGCAATGATGTAATATAAAGACGTGTTTATGTACATTATTGCCATATCTTTCGATAGCGTGCATAAACACGTCATACGCCGATACGCCAAAGCTTGTGCGTTATTTACGTCTACAGTGCACCTTGCACTAGGTATAGAAAGTGCAGGTACCATTGTTAAAAAGAACAAACCTGATAAAAGAAAAGCGGCTATTTCCAGAGTGAGAACTGGGAAAAGCTTTGAATTAAATTCTTTTTTCTTTCGATACTTTTCTCTTTTAAAGTATAGACTTAAATAATTTCATACTTTTTATTTTTTTTCAATAATTTAAATGTTTCCAATATATGCAAGAATAGAGTAGTGTGGGTAACTTGATTCGATGCGAATAATGCTGACATCACTAACAGAGTGTAGCTGATTCATTCGTTTTCGTCGTGTAAAAATTATATTTTTTTAAATGTATTTAGTTGGATTGACTGGTGGCATTGCCACTGGAAAAAGCACAGTTGCTGCTATTTTTCGGGAGCATGGCATCCCTGTTATAGATGCCGATGTAATTGCCCGAAAAGGTTAGAATGTTTTTGTACTTTACCCTGTCCATCTTATCATCGCCGACATATATATATATATATATATATATTTATATTATAGTCTCATATTTTGAATGACATATATATATATTTTTGTTATATTGTATTGTAATAGAATATTATATAAATTGTAACAATATTTTTTGTTTTTTTCTAAACGATATTACATGTTTTTCTTTTTCATGAAATTCTTTTAACACTATAATTGTAGTTGCATAATGAAAACAAATGTTAATAAGTTTAAGTATGCAGTGATTTGCAAAATTGAAATATTGATAAGCTGTAAGATAAAATTTGCCAAGAATTCAAAGTTTACTAATAAATTATTTGCAACAACATCAAATATTCTTTATATAAAGTTAGAAAATAGTATTTATGTTTTAGTTGTTGAACCAGGAAAACCAGCATGGTATAAAATACAAAAGGAATTTGGTCCAGATGTGTTTTTGGATACTGAACATTTGGATAGAACAAAACTTGGAGATTTAATATTTAATGATGTGGAAAAGAGAAAAAAACTCAATGCTATAACGCATCCCGATATATACAAAGAGATATACTGGCAGACTTTCAAATACTTTTTACAAGGCCATCCTTTCATAGTTATGGATCTACCATTACTTTTTGAGACAGGACACATGTTGAATTACTTGCACAAAATTATAGTTGTAACATGGTATGTATGAATTTTAATTAGTACGATCACCAAGGTGTGTGTGTGTGTGTGCTATTAAAGAATATGATGAAAATTTGTTTAACACTCTGATTTAAGGGAGAACACCACGGTGACGGCCGAAAAAAAAGGCTTTTTTTGTGAATTTTTTTTTTGAAAATTGATACCTTGTATGAATTATTGTTTTTATATATTCAAAGTACATACATTTACGAAATTATTAAAAAAAATTCATTGAATAATATTAATATTTGTAGCTTCAGTACTCATTGATGTGCACCTTGTCTGAAAAAACATGGGTGCACGGGCGCTCGTGCTGCGTCTGAACGGGAGTTCTGAAAAAAATTTTTTTTTTTTATTATTTTAAAGTATATGAGTGTAGTTTCAGTTGTATGTACGGAATTTTTGACAAAATAATTTTAGACAAAATGGCGCTGTTTTAAAAAAAAGTCACGATTTTGCGATAAAAATCGTTATTAATATTTTTAATTGTTTTTCAAAAACTAATAATCCGATTGAAAAGTTCGTACGTACAACTGAAGACAATTTTGTTGTAAACATTCTGTCCAAAATTCAAGTCATTCGAATAAAAATTGGCCGAGATATGTGAGCGCCCAGTTACGAAAACGTGGTTTCAAGAAAATCACGTTTAAAATTTTACAACCGATTAGTTTATATATAACGATATAATTTCGTAACGAATCAAAGTGCATCCAATCCGGGTGCATGTGAAGTGTTCACGTCTGAAGCACACAAGAAACAAAAGAATACCGGTAAAACTGCTTACAAACAGATCAAGAGGACTGCTGAATGTCCTAGCGGCATCTGACCTACTCTATCACATATTTACTATTGTTCCGTTAGGAATTTCAACATAATATTATAGGGACATATTTTTAAGACTCCAAGCATTACAAAAATGCAAAAAAAAAATCGATTTTTTGAACCTGTCACCGTGGTGTTCTCCCTTAATTATTTGAAATGAATACAGAAAAGCGGTTAACTTCAAAGTGAAAAAAAATCCTGATTCAGGGTAGAAGTACATAACATATATTTGATAACTTTTTATCAAATAAAAGATTCTGATGATAGCTTGATTTTCTTATGCTTTATGCAAAAATTTATGTTCCATCCCCAATCTTTCTTTTCTTCTGATATCAGTAACGTTGATTTTTTTTAAAGAGTGTTTCTGACTCAAAAAAATAATAGCATATTTACATTTATAGCTATTTAGTTTTTTATTATTTCAGATTTTCTCTTTGCTACACAATTAAAGTTATACATTATCCTAAGCGTTTTGACTTTTTATTCCAATCAACATCAAATACGACCTAGCTAATTTGTGTTCCGATTTTATTTTTTTTTTTTAAAGTAACCAAATTTAACAGTTTTCGAAAGCATACATTATCAATGCTTTAGCTAAAATAATCTGATATCTTATATTCTAAGATGAGAAAATATCTTTTGTCAGAAATTTTGTGATTTTTTGAAGTATTTAAAAATTATAATCCTCTGTGACTTTTATCGCTTTCAGTGAAGAAGATCTTCAGCTACAACGATTAATGGAACGCACTGGATTTACAGAAGCTAAAGCGAAATTAAGAATAGCTGCACAAATGTCCCTGGAAAAAAAAGCAGACATGGCAAGTTTTGTAATTGAAAATTCGGGCAGTGCAAGGGATACGAGGGAACAGACCGTGAAAGTGATTAATGTATTACGATCCTCCAAGCATCATTGGAAATTGCGTCTTTTAGTCGGGCTTTGTTGTACTGTACTATTAGCTGGCGCGTATTGGTTAAAGAATAGAAGTTCGAAATCTCTATCCACTGCAACATGAAATTGTTCATTAAAATTATTTAGTTAAAAAAATTAATGTTCTCTATAAATCGTAGTCACGTGATAAAAGCGAGTGTGATTTTTGTTAACTTTTATACAGCAGCATTCGCAAAATTAAAGTTTTCATAAAACAGACAGTTAATTATTAAGTTGAAAATTAAGTCGTCTACTTTAATATATACATTTATGTTGCTATATATTTGTTACACGATGTTGTTAAACCAGTCATGTTAAAGAATTTAATTACAATTGGATAAGCTGCTTTCTCTATTGAATGTAGTTATTACGTTGTATAAATATTTTTTTATTCTGTAGAAGATTTCTATGCATATATATGTTGCAACTGTATTTTGTTACAAATAATTGCTTTATTATCAAAAAAACTTAATTGAAACAGAGTTAATGGGGTAAAGGGATATGTAAAGAATTTATCTATATGTATACGTGAAAGGGACGCATGATATATTATGTACATATATTTTATGTAATAGAAAAGCCATATTATAGAGTATATAAACCAGAGCTATCTTGCTTGATATAATAGAATAAGAGACAAGACAAAGATTCCTAGTAAGCACTCGATCAAACAGCTCTAGTACAATTGTTATGATGATAATTAGCGCTACAAGGTACAATTTTTCTATCGTCAATATTAAAAATGCGATTGTAAATGAATTGTGTAATTAATAATAATGCATTTATCAAACTAGATGCAAACAGTTATGTAATGATAAATGTAAATAAAAAACGGATAATATATATATATTACTGTTGTTTTAGATAATATCTTTTAAAAATGTTTTTATTTAATCGATAATAAAAAAACTGAAATTTGTTTGTTGCAACAAGTTTGTTGGTCACATAAATGTCCCACGCGCTCGCAAGTATTTTTGAGGATAAAAACCATGTTCGTCTTTTCTTCTTTTTTTTAATAAAGTGCTTTTTAACATAAATTTATACGTAAAAGATTATACATTTGTATGCATATATAAAATACGCGAGTACATAGTGCTCAATTTCTTACGCTAATTATCGCAAAGTATATATATACAAATATCGAGTCATGATTAATATGATTTAAATCAGATACCCATTTGGTGTACAGCGTACGTTTTACACACTGTAATTTCCTGTAATATCATATATAATTTATACATTTATATTGATATAAATATAAATTGAAAATTACTTAATCATTCTAAAAGCTGCTTGTTTAAGTAAATCATAGAAACTGGCAAAGAGAATTCCATAAGTACTTAATTAAAATATGATTTAAGGAGAATATATATATATATAACCAATTTGCTTATAATAAAAATTGAAGTACAAAATTACTCTCGGTAAATAAAGGGATAATAGAATATATTATGTACAATGTAATCCCGCACGGAATAGTAAGGTTCTGCAAATCTGGACCTTTCTCTGTATTAGATCTTTTTTTTTAATATACTACATTTATATTTTTTCTTCTAAGCTTCTTTGTACTTACGTTAACATATTACCTAAAAGAGATATCCCTTAATTATATCCCCTTATTTTACAATTTTTTCGTCGGTGCTCTTATCTATTTGTTACTATTTTCCAATTTAGCTTTACATAGAGATGAGATTAATCTGATACTACACATGATATATATATAACGCAAATAAAAGAAGAGTTAAATAATAAAGGAACATAATGTCATGACGTAATTATATCTCGTAATTATAGATTGTCATTCTTGTTATTCTACAATTATACACACTTTGAACGTATATAGCTGTCGATATTATCGACAGTTGTTATTGCATAGTTGTATATTATCGTATATTCTTATCACGCTATTCACAGAGGGAAAATAATTATATTTTACATATTCAAACACGAAGAGATGAAGAAAAAACGATATTATAATCGAACAACTTTAAATTAAACAATTGTTTTCTTTACCATTCACCAATCTTTGCACAAATGAATAGAATATAAAAAAGGATTTAGAGCGATGATGAATATTCCATCATTGATACAATTGTATCTATTTACTACGGTGATACACTGCATCATCCCACAGCCACAGGTTTCTATTTTCTGTGTGTACTTTCAAGTGTACTTGTAAGAGAAGTACAATTTCACATAGAGGAAGATGAATGCACATTATAATCCTTGATTCGCCTACGTAGCCGAGTAGGTAGTATATATGTAGATATCCTCTATCAGAGATAACATTTTTCCTATTCTCATGACGCATTTATTGCAAAACAGGCCTAAGTTCTTGCGTCATAATAGGATAAGAGACGAGAGGTGCGGTCGCGCCAGATATCGACAAGGGTAAACTGGCGGGTTGTTGAGTGTTCGGTGGTTGCTGATTAGTTGCCTGAGGAGGCCCGGAGCCGCTCATCGAAATAGTTTGTTGAGCCATGGTGACGATCGGCGGTGGTATCGAAACTGGTGCCATAGAAACTGCCGCGATAGAGACGGGTGCTACGGTTGCGATGCTCACAGGAACGGTAGCGACGCTGGCGGTGACTGTTCGGAGGGTACCCGCCGCCACGGCTGCGTTCACCATTTGTTGGGGTGTCGGAGCTTGCGACGGCGGAACTGTATTCGTAATCGTTACTGCCGGAACCGTTACGGCTGTTACGTTCGCAGTTCGTTTGCCCGACATCCTCAATTGGGCATTTTGATCCAATAGAAACTCGTTCGTCGCCGTCAAATCGCTGACCTAAAGCAAGATAAAGCGTATACACAAAATCAGAAGCGAAATCGATATTTCAGACGTATTTCTTTTATCTTTCTCTTTTTGTCTCTAACATACCTGTTTCTTTAATTCTTCTATCTTCTTTCTCAGCAGTGCATTCTCATCCTCCAGTACAATGGCTCGTGCTTCGTTACGCGGTATTACGGGATAATAATAATTTGGCGTGACCGTTGGTTGAGTCGCATGCTGCTGACCTACGATTGGAGAAGCTTCGAAGTGTACGACCGTTTCGCCCGATACTAATCGCCTCTTCGGTTCCGGCGGCCCGATGTAATCAGCTGGATGCGATGTGTTGTAACCGCCATTGTTAGCGACTAAATTGTTATGATGATCCTGTAGTTGCCAGTGAAAGCTGCATTCATAAAAGAGAAACACAAAATCATCACAATGTTATAAATTTCTACATAAAAGGAAAAAATCTATAGACTCAATTGCTATGCTTACTTTCTATCCTCTTCGTATCTGCGTCCATCGCCACCGACACCACCGCCGTTGCTGGTGCCGTTGAAGTTGTGTTGCGGCCTGGATGCGTTAAGAAGCGACGGCGACATTAGATTATGCTGTGGTTCCTCCTTCTTCATATGCCTGAACTTGCAATTCACTCTTTGGCAATTGCCCTTCAGAAAATCCTTGCAAAACGGATCCGACTTGTCGTTGTTGCAGATCTTGGATCGATTGAGGACGTGAGATGGCAATTCGCCGGTTGCCCTGAAACGTTTCTCCTCGCTCTCCGTACAATGCAAGAATTTGCAGCCCGGCCAATTACACTTGCCATTCTGGAAGTCATGGCAGAAAGTATATTCCTCCACGGGATCGTCCTCGGAACGTTCATGAAGATATTTGCAACGCTTCCCACGGTGACAGACATTTCTCAGAAAGTCTCGACAAATCCGATTAGCAGAATCGGTGTTATCGGTCGCATTCGCGTTCAATCCACCCGCCATCCCGACCGCCTGTTGATGCCTCGTTAATGTCCCTAACGTTTCACTGCTTTCCAACTTTACCTTCAGTTTTTTCATCGGTGGCACATAGCGATCGCACGTCGGCGAGGTTATCGTTGTACCCTTGATCGATCGACGAACCGGCTAAGCGTGGCTAATATGCGCGTCCCTGAATAAAAAAAAAAACGATGGATTAAAGGTGTATAACGATATTATTAGCTTCCAGGAAGGAAACTTGTATCACGCTAAATACGACGTACTTGTGATAAGCCATTGATTTAAAATTTACATTTAAAATTACATTTAAAATCTCATATATTTTGCCTTTTAATTTCTACAGGCTAAAAAATGGATATGGAATGAATGTTGAGAGTACAAGAAACTTACCACAATCTTCTTTAATTAATTAAGTTAGTTTTTATTTCCCCTTTTTTTTTTATATAATGACTATTACATCGGTAGTAAGATTATATCAACATTATTATGTACAGCATTTTTATTTATCATATGTACTTTGATAATTTGATATATACGCTTGATCTGCCAAGAAAGTGAGCTCGCCTAAACGAGCGAGCGACCGGTTTGCGGCGTTTACTTTTTTGGAAAATGTCACGTACACCCTAGTTCGCCACGACACACAATGATCCGTTATCTAATGCGGTATAGTAGACATGGCACTCTCTAAACTAAACTAACGAATTAAGAAAATACTGTCAATTTCCCATTACGTTTCGTATCAAAAGAATTAATATATAGAAAACTACGATTATATTGGATCTTCTCGCTTTAAGACGTTATTTAGACGATATCAAGGCCATTCCAAGGTAGGATCGATACTGATACCAAGGTAGAACGGTACTGAGTGCTGAGAAATTTGCTTTCGAGAAGTAAATACATACGTATATCTGCTTATTAGTTTATTTAGGTCGCTCAAACAGATATGCACTTGTATGTCTAGTCATGCTACCCAAATATGTATACGTATGAAAGAAAGAAAATTAAAGTATCATTGTGCAACAAAGTTGGAGGGCCCAAGATTCGCCGCAAGACTAATAATATGATATTACGCGATCAAATTTTCACTTGACAATGATGGATTTATGATCAGAAAAGACGCAAGATTAACGCAGCAACATATATAATATACGCATACTAATGTATACATAAACGCGACGATTAATTATCCCTCTTTCTCTCTTCCTCTCTCTTTCACTCGCCAAAGGTCGTTCCCAATTTTTTGAGTCGCCCTCAACAAGAACTTAAAGAAGAAGCGTGTTACTTGATTCAAATGCGATGAGTACAATGAGTTATGTATCGTTTTGCGTGAAAATTCGCTTTCTACAATTACCTATAGACAAATGTATGAAAAAAATATGAACAATCGAAAACGAGAATACGTGTGCGTGTGTGTATGTATGTTGTGTTTTTTTTTTTTTTGAAGACGCGATGTGAAAAAAGTATCCTCGTAAAAATTCTAGTAAAGAATACATATTTCAATCTTTAGAATATGCTATGGAAAAGAAAACATATTATTTCTAAACAAATAAACATGCAACAGAAAAAAAATACGTGATATATTATAAATATAAAATTGAGCCATATTATGAGATATGATACTCAGCAGCTTGGCAGCATGTTGAACATTTTACGTGGTATCGTGTGCCTACATTTTCTCCAACTACTTTTACTCCCCAGAGAGCGTAAGTCGAGCTTGCGTGTTCAAGATATACATACATATACATTCAATAAACAATTTCTTCCTCGTCTTTGATCTTGCTCCTCCTTTTTGTAAGGCGTATTAACGCGACACATTCTATGCTTAACATCGCACTTTATAACGAGAAACTTCTTATCTAACCCCGAGATTCGATTCGGGAAATTAAACAAATATATATATATATATATATGTACACACAATTCTTAACGATTGTTTGTATAAAAAACATTAAATTGTGTTCGATATGGTCGTTTCCAAACGACAAAACGGGTTAACAGAGCTTAACATAATTTACAGTCAATTATAGTCGATATTGTAAAAGAATGAAGAGAAATGAAGAAACTAAAACATTTATCGTAGCGCGTGTTATATGTACAGAAAAGAATGTTAGATGGCAGGGGAGAGAGAGACGTGATTAGAATATTTTTTCCAACAGCATCCACACCAGCATGATCACGATAGGTGCCACGTAGTGTATTGGCACGGTATAAGTCGTACTGAGCAGATCACCACACTGCGATTTCAGGGACATGTATTTCTTTGAAAGCTCCGCTTTCTCCTCGACAAACGCATTGTACTTTTCTTTCACTATAACCAGTTCCTCGTTGACTTCCTGCATCCGTTGCGCCTCGTTCTTCGCGCGGTAATATAGCTCCTTCAGCCTGTCGATGACGATCTCTTTCTCCCCGAGAATCAGCCAGTCCTTCAATTCCTCCAGCTCTCGTTGCACTATCTGTCGCGCCTCCAGGCTGTCCTCGCCTCTTAACGAATCCAGAGAGCCAATCAACGTCTGCAGGATGTAGTCTTTGGAATGGAAGGCTTGTTGTATAGTGTCGTTCTTCGTGATAGGTTTTAAAGTTTTTACGTAATCTCCTTCCGTGGATCTCTCTTCGCACTCCGACGCAACATTGTTATCCTGTTGCTGATCTTTTATGTCGATCTTGTTTGTAATAGGGTCGACGATAGAACTGTCTAACGTATCCCCGGTGCCTATGGAGACATCTGCTCCCGTCGAAATCTCCACAACTTTGTCATCTTTGGCAATTTGTTTTATTGACTCGTGATGTACTTCCGATTGTTGACAGTATTCGATATTTGCAAATCGCACCTCCATCTTGCAGGGCACAAATGTCTGCATAGACTCTTGCCCCACCGTGTCCAGCTCTTCCTTCTTATTCTCTATAACGCTCTTCTCACTAGTATCATCATTTGTAATACTACCCGCGTCATCGGTAGCTTCCGAGTTTGTGTCAGAATCTCCGTTAGTATCGCACTTGTCTAAATTGCCTACATTTCCATTGACTAAAGTCCGCCTGGATAACGACGGCGGTGGTAGAATATATTCCGTGAGACTATCGTCGGCTGTCTGCAGATCGTCCATCTGGTTTTTGGTAAAAGATAAATCGGACATCAGCTTCGGATCGACATCTGACGAATTAAACTGATTATCCTGTTCGCTCTTGAAGTAAAAATAAAGCTCACTGTCCATATCCATATTATCGACAAGAATGGAATTTAATTTGTTAAGAATAGCGTTTATAGCTTCTATGGGATCCTCGCCTTTCGAGTCAAAATTCTCGCCGACTTCCAGCTTCAGGTTCATATCTTGCAGAGTCTGTGCGTAATTTCTTAAAGCGGTGATTTGCTTATAGATGTTGACGGAATCTATTCGCGAATCTTGCAACCTCGCCCGCAAATTCTTCTCGATTTTCGACTGATCCTCGAGCCGTTTCGCGAGATCTCGTTTCTCTTGCTCCGCACTGAGCAGCATGTCCTTCACCTTGTCTTCGCTCTCCATGAGCTTGTTGGTGGTCTCCTGGAGCTTCTTCTGCGCCTCCGCGTATTTCGCGCTTAGCTCCTGAAGCTCCGTTTGAGAATACTTGGCTACGTTATGCAAACTTTGACATTCCTCCTCCGTTTCGTTCAAACGTCCTTCCAACTGTACCAATCTCTGAGTGACCTCCAGTTTCTCCTGCAAGACCTTCTGTAACGCCTCCTTAGCGGCATTCTGATACTGCCCCTTTTCATCCTGAAGCTTTGCAAGCTCGCTTCTGATATTGTCCTCGGTATAATTCTTGGAATACACTGTCAATTGATTCTCCACGGTCATCACCCACGACAATAAACGGTCCTCTGTGATCAACGCCTTCCACGATTGATTGGCAGCTTTCCGAGTATTTTCCACCAGCTGCTGCAAGTAGCCCAGTTTCGAATACAAGGCTTTCTCCCGTCTCGACGCCTCCTGCATTATCTGGTTAAGCTTGTAAAGATCCTCCAGGGACACGTTCCCAGCGGGTGAAGTGACGGAGGTGCTGAGACTAGCTTTAGCTTCCTTTCCGTCTGGCAGATACAGCTTCAAGGTCGCGACTATACACCCGTGGGTGACCTTCTTTGTATTCTCCACCACGTCCACGCCAAATTGCACTATGTCCCCGGAGCATACTTCCTTGGGTGTCGACTCCAACCCGGAAGCGCTGAGTCTCTGATTATTCACAAACGTGCCGTTGCTGCTGCACGTGTCCTGCAGGTAAAACTTACCGGAGGAGTACCAAAGTAGGGCGTGATTCCTGGACAACACTTTGCAGTCGAAAATCGCGTTATTCGTCGCAGCTCTTGCCCTGGCCACGGAACGGCCGATCTTCATCGGTTGCTCCAATGTCAACTTGCGCTCCTGGAAGGGATGGGAATTGTCGCGGCAGATCAGCACGCCCTTCGCAGTCATCTTGTTGTTGTTATTGTTGTTATTGTTGTTGTTGTTGTTCTGCGTGTTGTTCTGACTCACGTTAGAGTTGTTCTGCCCAGCGGGCAAACTGGCATTTTGTACCCAACCACCGCTGCTAACTACAACCATATCCGAGATGGATGGTAGAGTCGAGCGAATTCGAGGAAGAGTCCTTTCACGAATTGTAAACCGAACCGTTGCAATACCCCCCGTCGGAGGGAATACCGAGAAATTGTATCAGCCTCGAGATACACACTGTAACCGAGCCTGTGGGTGACTGCTAGATAATAATGTGGCGAGATCTTCGCTTCACTTCGCCTCACGTCGAACACGCGTCGAATACGCGAAGCACGTTGCTCAAGCTCGGTCACGAGGATCTCGACGTGACCTCTTGGGAACTATTGCCCGACACAACGAGGCATGACGACATCGTATCTGGCATGTTTTCCTCCTCAATGAAATACCACTTGACCGCCCGTCACTCTCTCGCAGCCGTGTGTCACCTCCCTTATTTTCGTCGAGAAATTCTCACTCCCCCTCTCTCCTCCTATCTTCTCTCCCTCTCCCTCTCCTCTTCCTCCCTCGGTCAACGAATACCTCGAGAGCGCGGGGCACTCCGCTTTCCAGAAACAGAGCCGTCTGGCGAACGTCAACCGACGAGTCGACGACGTGGTCGGCCCTCCGGGATGATAATAGGGTCGACACACGCGTTCCTTCGTCGCGCGACAACGTCCTCCTCTCGCAGGCGTGAACGTGGGTTGCGCTCTCACCCGTCCCGTGTAGCGGCTCTCCGTTCACGCCAGCCTGACCCGTCGATCGCGGCCGGGACACGCGGCGTCGGCGACGTTGCCGCGGGCGTGACGACCGGGACGAATCGGCGACGGCACTACCGCGGACTCCTGCGTACGAACGAAAAATATTTGCGCACGGACGAGACGTACGGATTCCGTGAAAATACAATGGTTCGCCGTTCCCCGTGTCCGCAGACAGCTCCCGTTCCAGTTCCGCGTTCCACCGTTCCCCCACACGCTCGCCACGTGAGAGGGGAAGGGCGAGCGCGGTACGGAATGCCTACCTTACCTATCTGGCGCCAGCCACACGCGCTTTCAATGCGCCTTTATCGCAAAGATCCGGAGAAAAGAATAAAAGGATCTCTAATTAGCGCAGTCGTTCAAAGTGATGACAACGTTTGTGACTAATGGAAATTAGCCTTGAATTTTATATAGAGGCGCTACTAATCGGAAACTTGTCTTAAAATTATATTTTCTCGAAACCTGTAATTTTCACATTTAGAGTGAGATAAATATATTCGAGCATTGAGAGAATATAAAGTGACGAATGGAATAGAATGCAAAAAGTGCAAGCAACGCGAACAGATCTAATATATGCAATGTTACTTGGGGGTCGATTATCTTAAAATATGGAACAAGGTGAAAATTACAAAAGTGAGCAAAAATTCATTATTATTTATCATTTCATTGGTCAACACATAATGAATTGATTCACTTTCATTTTTACTTTCAAGATACATAGATCCCCTCTTTTTGCATCGTAATTACGAGCTACGTAATATCTTTCATATGCTTACGTATGTGAGTGTATAATATTCGCTATGACGTGTGAAAAAACGTCGCTGCGAACTTGTGACAATAACTTGTACATAAAGAACAAATTATTGTAAATTATATTTTTTTGTTATATGATAAAATGACATCGATGCAGATATAATAGTATTGTTCGTTTTGTCTCTCGGGAGCTGCTCGGAGTCGCTCCGAACGAACCCAGCGTACTTGGATGTGATCCATTTATAATGCTGCAAATGCTTCGTTGATCGAAAGAAAGAATTTTATGAATTGATCAATCAAAGAATGTTTCGAGGTGTTTACAGTATTAAATGGATTACATCCAAGTACGCTGGGTTCGTTCGGAGCGATTCCGAGCAGCTCCCAAAAGACAAAACTAATATAACCCGAATATAAGCAAAAAAGAAGTCATTCTCGGAAATAAAAAAAAATGCATTACACGTTAATTATTATAAAAGAAAGTTATATACGTAACAAATAGAACGACCTTTAATCGTATAATTTATTTCAATTTGATTTCAGGTTTTTCGTCGAAAAGAAATCGTCCTGAAAATTTACAGGAATCGACTTTTCCAACATAGAGAATAACCTCTCAAGTTCAAGCATAACCTAAAAAAAGAGCGCGTCGAACACGGAGGTGCGTCGAACGTTGCGTCTCGTAGAAAAAAAAAGAGTATTTTTAGAAGAGAATATAAATATTTGAATATTCGAAGCTTGTATCGTCGACATCATCACGGGAGAATTTCTGAGGTGTTACATTTATTGTGATCAAGGTAATAATTGTCATTACTGCATACATCTTGTGACAAAATTTATTATTCTGTTTCCAGTTTCACCTAATACTCTTCTATAAACAATCAATTTTGCTCCAAACGATGTCGGACGATGAAGATTATATGTCTGATAAATTTCTACAAAATACTGAACAAAATGTCTCATCAAGTCTTATATACAATCATTCTGATAAAAGAGAATTTGCATTAATGAAGAAGAAGGCTGAAATTCAGTCTAGAAATAAGCCGATACGAGTAGTCGAAGCAGAAAAAAGGGAGGAAGGCTTGTCATCTGCTATTACCAGTACAAATAAAGGTCTATACTTTGTACACATTATATGTAACAATTGATTGTGTACATAACTTGGTAAAAATGATAAAAGTAAGCTGATTCATTAAAAGTTGGCCAATGATTTTATAAATATTCTAGTAAGTTTGTTTACTTTTATAATTTTCACCAAGTTGTGTAATATAGAATCGAACAGATATGCAAAAAAATGCTAATCTGATTTTGGTAGTAGTAATTGTAAGTTTGACAAGCAATTTTATCAAAATTCTATGAAAAAAATATATATATACACTTTCACTTTAATTGAGAATATAGAGTGAGACTAAATATGAGAGCATAATATCTTACTTTATAATCTTAATTATAGTGAACTAATTAAATAAACATTGAAACAAGTGCATGTTAAGTGAGGTAATACATACAATACAAGGAATATACAGAAAAAAAGTATTTTTCTCTTTCATAGAATTTTGACAAAATTGCCTTGTGATAAAATTACAGATTTTATGAGAGACTCTGTGTGAATGGTATGAAATAATTATTTACTTCATCTTTAGGTTTTGAAATGCTGATGAAAATGGGATACAAACCTGGTCAAGGAATAGGCAAGACTCAATCAGGAATGACTGAACCAATTTCTGTGGAAGTGAAGGAAGACAGACATGGTCTAGGCAAAATGCTAAAGAAGGATTCGTACAAGACGAGGAATACAAATGCAAAATTAGATAATATGAATACTACAGATTTCCGTAACAGGATAGCTCAAGAAAAGGCAGAACAGTTGCAGAAGACCGATTTGTACAAAAGTCAAAAGGTGTGTCAAGAATTAGACGCTAAAGAAAATGTCGAAAAACCTGAAAATACGTGGTTTTGGATAGAGAATAAAGAAGAGAAAGAAGATGATGACACTGATGATGATATCGAGGATGACGAGGATAAAGAGGTTGAAGTTCTCAGCAATTTAGAAAAACTTGAGATTCTTACTAAATATTTAAGAAAAAAATATTTTTACTGTATCTGGTGCGGGACGAAATTCAACGACGAAGACGATTTAAGAGATAATTGTTCGGGAAGTACAAGAAACGATCATTGAGTACATTAAGACTAATAATATTATATTTATATTATATAACTCTAATTATATTATATATTTATATTACCTATATTATAATAGGAAAATGATATCAATAAATTTTAGACATCACTAAAAATATTCTCCAATCTTGTCGAGCGTATACCTCAAAACATGATAAACTCACAAACGAAAAAACCTTCGGCAAAATCACATTACTTAAACACGTGGTCAATTCCATTATGTGGTACACGAGACATAAAAAACCCATTAGCTGATATAATGCAAAACATCGAGAAAGCAATGTTCCGGGTGAAAAAAAATCGAGCACTGAGCAACTACTAAAAGCAGGAAAGTCGTTACCTCCTCACCGACTGAATTACGCTATTAAAACAGCAGGGGATCCTTACCACCTTTAGCTTTTACAGGCTACGAGGAAGAAGGGTAAACATTATCTATAAAAGGGTCCGTTTGATTCTCTCTCCTTTCATTTTATCTGGAAACTTCTATGGTGATTGTTTGTTAAATATCAATAAAAACAATATAATGTTGGTAGCCCCAAAGTCTCTGCTAGTTCTCGTGGTTTACGTTACAATCAGTGATGCTGAAATAACCGAGGTAGATGACGAAAGTTGCGAGACTCTACAATCAGAAATACGTATTACTAAAGACGAATATGACGACTTAGCACGTCTGAAAAGAACATGCAGCGGTGATGTATCGGTCACGAAATGCGAAGGATTCTGTAACTCGCAAGTACAGCCAAGCGTCGTAACTACTACGGGCTTCTCAAAGGTAAGTCGATGCGATATCATATGACATCTCGCACAAAAGAAGACGTATAAGAAATATTGCCTTTAATTATCTATTTTTTTTTTATAACACATGCAGGAGTGCTACTGTTGCCGTGAGAGTTATCTGAAGGAAAGATCCGTCATCTTAAATCATTGCTACGACGCGGATGGAATCAAATTGATAGGCACGGAGGACGACGCAATGATGATCAAGATACGGGAACCCGCTGAATGTAAATGTATAAAGTGCGGCGACTTCGCGAGATAAGACAGCAACGACTCGAAATATAAATTATTAATTTCTCAGCAATGAAATTGCAACGATTATATGTGACAGTTATATCAACGGAAAAGAAATGATTATATTGTAATATATTAAACGATAAAAATAAATATTTCCGATGCATTTATATGATACAAATCTACTTGTAACCCCAATTATACATAGCAGCTGTTCTAAATATATGTATATGCACATTTTTACATGTGACGATAAATGCAGGATTCCTCGAAAGTTAATTTCCTTTAAATACACTTATACACATACATGTATATAATTTAATCATGTATATCGTTGCATACTTTAAGATAAATATAAATCATTTAAATAAAAATTTCATATTATGTGTTTCATAATTCTTTACTTACCTGTTATATGTATCTATATAAAATGTTTGTTACATACAAGTCCGTATTTAAAATGCATTTGTAACGATATTAAGAGCGCATTTAGTTCACGTTCTATATAATATTAGGATTTCAGAAATAAAAGCGCGTATCTATTAATAAAATCGTGTTCTGAATACGGGTATATATATGAATATTGAACCCAAAAATAACAATTTTTCCTTAATAAAAACGGTAATGACACCATAAATAGTATAAATTTGGAATTTTTGAGCAATTAAACTTTTTCAGTTTTTGATTCTTATTATACTTAACGTTTAAAAAAATTTAGAAAATTGGGGAAGAAAAAAATTATTTTAGTTTTCGATACGGGATATATCACTTTAAAATATTTACTAAATGCACTTAAAATATTTACTATGTAATTAACATAATATAAGAAAAAGCTTTATCAGGTAGTGCAGCGAAGCAAAAAAAAATTACTTCATAAAATAACTTCGCAATGTAGATCTAGCTATCTATTTATCTGTTTGTTTGTCTGTCCAATTGTTCATCTGCGAGATTTCTTAGAAGCGGTTCAATTTTTTAAAACTCTGTTTTCGGTAATATAATAAATACTCGAAAAACTTAGCTCCAGCAAGAGAAAGTGACATAAGACAACTCAATTAACCATAATAAGATTAAAAGTCTAAATTAATGAGATTTTCAATAATAATAAAAAATAAAACAAATTAATCGGCTTAACTGTTTCAAAGTCTGTCATATTTAGACATTTTTATTAAATTATACACATGTGTAAGTGTTATTGTGAATATTTTCAGTATATTTATAGTTGTCATTATATATTATTGCTTAAAGCAATAAGATATTGTAAATGCTTTATTTTAATCCCACAAAATTTTTAATTTTCAAAATTTTAAACATCTTCAAAAAACTTAGTCCTAAATCAAAATATTGTTGCGTAAATAAAGTTGAGTAAAAATACACTTAAGAATTAAAATACTGATTTCATTATTGTTTTGCAAACTAAGTATTGTATGTGGAAATATTTTATGCAATAATTTTTAACTTCCTACGTTATTCATAAAATTTTTATTTTTGCTAATAAAAGTTTAATTTTTCCATAAATTATGCACATAAAATTGTGCAAATATTTAATCATAAGTGAATAAAATTATTTTGACCACAAATTCATATATGTTACATTTTTTAGAGATATAAAGACATTAAGAATATTATATATATATATATATATATATATAAATTTTTAATGGAATTAATGAATAAAACTTTATTATAACAAGATCCGTTCAAGTACTGTATATATAAATTTAACGAATATGTAGGAAGCATTTTCTCATGAACATTCTTTATACATTTGTATATATAGATTTTCTAATATATAACACTGCTAAAATATAGCAGAAAAAAAGGGAAAAATACGGCCACCTATGGTGTATAAAAGCTTGCGACATAAGACCTACAAGTACAGTAAAGTGCCAGGAAGAGAAGGCGATGTACCGCTCGAGAGGCAAGCTCTTTCGTTACTTTGGTAAATAAGCTAACAATAAATTTGCAAAATGAAAGTATTTCTTCAGTTGCATTTCTTATAAATTGCAAGTTATAATAATAAAGTATTTTTGTATTTACCATACACAGTGATCGATGGATTGTTGATATGCTTGTTATACGGAGCTACAGAAGCAATTGTTGGAGTCGACGAGTGCCAGGCGACGCGTGTGATACACTTCCTTCAGTATCCAGGCTGTGTTCCAAAGCCGATTCCTAGTTATGCGTGTAGAGGACGGTGCAGTAGTTACCTACAGGTAAGAAACATTAAGATTAGTATTCATAGTTAATAGTTCTTACTTTAAGACTTATCAACATTTTAAGTAATGTCTTAAGATGCTATGAATACTGACTTATGTATAATATAATTAGAGACAATATTTTTCGCAAAAAATTATTTACAAACTTTTGAAGATGCTTACTAGCATCAATAACTTTAAGTTGCTTGTCAATTTAATTTAAGCTATTGCTCCAGCTTCAGTTTAGGACTATGTTTCAAAACCGAGAAATAATCGGTGTACAGTTAATTTGAATTAGAAATTGTATAAATTCACAAGAAATATAGCAATGAAAAACTGATTTAATCAAATATGGCGTTTTTCATTTATGTGTATAGTTAGAGATATCATAAGCCAATCACAGAATTGTATTAGCATCTTAATATATTATCTAAGACAATCTTAAAATAAGAACACATTATGAATCTCGGCCCAAACTTTAGTGATAATCACACAAAGTACACACAAAATATCAGTAAGCTCTATAATGTACTGGAGTAAGCCATTGAAAGTGGAGGCGTTCCAATTCTTAGACACTCTGATGCAAAGATTGAACTGTTTTCTTTGTCACTGATTGACTACTATCTACTATAAATGGAAGAAAGATAAATATTTGTTTCCTTTTCTGAGTTGGATCAGTTTTTTTTAGTGTCTTTTAATATAGAAAAGACATCCTCCAGTATAAAGCTCGCCGGGTGTCTTTCATTTATGTCCAATTTCTTTACTTCCAAATAAATTGCGAATAATTTTATCCAAAAGATATCTCCATTGTATTCTGAGAGATATTTCCTGGATAAAGTTATCTAGAGATGAATAAATTGGGCATTAGACTGTGTTTGGAGATAAAACTGGAGCATCGATCTTTGCATAATGCACAATGCATAAAGCGTAAAAGAATTAAATTAAGTAGATAGAGTGAGAGAGTTCATCTTTCTTCTCTAAGAACTGACTAGTTAATTTTCTTATGCATTATGCATTACACAAAGATCTTTGCTCCAGTCCATACACTATCAGTATTAAAAATCTACAATTCATATTACATACATTATAGACTTTTAGTCAGTATATATGCAAACCTTGTCTTCTACCAATGTGGAATGATTTTAATCTCAATTCAATTTGTCTCTTTCTAGTTCTAAAGCTGATTCTATAATGAGTCTGTAATTGGAAGTCTTAATCTAAATCAGTGAAGTTTGCCAATCAGTGTTAGTCATACAAGTTGGCTATTGGTCAACTTTACCAATAAGACTTAGGACTACTAACTACCGACTCATTGTAGAATCAGCATAAGAATTAGAAAAAAATGAAAAATAAGTTGAACTGAGATTAAAATTAATCAACATCTATGAGTAACAGAGTAATACTTGGTATAGACTTGTTATCAAACAATAAGAAACACCTAGTTTATTGTAACTAATACCTAGTTCTATGAATAATGGTAATGATAAGATGCATGAGCAAAAGATCCATGGACGCTGGAAAATCGTTTAGAAATAATAAACGTAGTGTCGCATTCAATACTCACGACATACGCCGAGACATAATATCCTGCACAAATGTTTCCAAAGTCACACAAAGCCACATTCTCTAAATTTTAACACTACAAGCAGGAGTCTCGTACGTTCTCTGTACCAAGTGTATATAAAACAATAACACCTTGGAAATATAAACGTGAGTCGTGGACTAATCTGATACTGCAAAACACTTGCGATTATTATGACTGGCGTTTGACAGAGTCCATTATCTCCTTTTTATCTCTCTCACTCTATCTAACACAAAAGAGAGAGAGAGAGAGAGAGAAGAAAACACGTACGGTAAACGTGCGGCTTACTGACACACACACGCAGGTGTCCGGATCGAAAATGTGGCAAATGGAGAGGAGCTGCATGTGCTGTCAGGAAAGCGGCGAAAGAGAGGCTAGTGTCTCCCTGTTCTGTCCACGGGCGAAACCAGGGGAGAAGAAATTCAGGAAGGTGAGAACACCTTCGGATAGCGCGGCCACCCTCAGACGCGGTTCCGCCGGCGGTGGCGCGAACGTCAGCCGGGTGGTCGTAAACAGGATCGCGTGAACGTGGACGTGGTCGCGTGCCGTTCCCTCGCTCTCTCACCGATCACACGCCAACGGGATTTGCAGCAAAAGCCGTTTGACACCACGAGTTTCGCGCGGCCATATTGTTTTCGTGCTCAGCCGACCGAGGTTTCCTATCCTTTCTCGCAGTTCCTATAGGAAATTTCTGAATAATATCGTCGTTTTCATTATCGTTCAGATTTTCGATTGGCTGTTCTTTTTGCGGAAAGATAAGTAATGGAAATAATTAATTCGAAATTCTCTAGAATAACAAGGAAAAATCAGAATTTATATCATTGTTAGGATCTTAGGGAATTTTGGAAAATCCATTTCGCGATTATTCTATCTATTCTATTCTGTTTTCATGGAAAGGGCAGAGAGACATTGAATAATAATTAATAATTATATAATTTTTGTTAATACACTAATTTTATTAATAATTATATTAATTTAATGTCAATATGTTATTATTTAATTTACATTCATAAATTAAATTATAAAGTTAAATATTCCTGTAGTCTCGATATTTTTATATCTGAATATATAAATAATATTCAGATATAAATAATAAATGGTTATAAATAAGACTTTAGGCTTATATAGGTGTGGCGCATCACTTATTAATAACTGTTTAAAAACTTTTGATGAAATAAAAGATGGACCTATTAACTCTTTTATTTAATGATGCATTCCGAAAAGTGAAAAATGCTATCTTATAGTTCCGGAATTATTCCGCAAATTAAGATTCGAGAAACCAAGTTGAGATGGTGGATATTTTTTTCTTTTAGATTTATGCGACTATTTATAAGATGTTCATTAAAATAATATTAAATCTTGCATTAATTCCTGCGTATATTTTACCTCTGCCTGTCCACTAGATGGTCACCAAAGCACCGCTGGATTGCATGTGCAGACCGTGCACCAGCGTGGAAGAGTACGCGATAATACCTCAAGAGATCGCGGGATTCTCCGACGAGGGTCCTTTCACAACATCCGCGCATTTCAGACGATCCTCCGTTTTATAATAGACGAGCACGAGTGTCGTCCGCGAGGATGAAATCTTGAAAAACAGCGCGTACTATAAAACGCCAATCTGTTTAATTCCGCGCAAGCCATGTATTATGAAAACTAATAAAGAGTATCTAATAAATGTGTCTATCTCTCTCGATCCAATGACTGTATATGAATGAATATAAATAAATACGAAATGTGTGCAATACAGATTTAAACGCGTGCAATATACTTATATATGTGCACGTAACCCTCTTATCCTATTTTTAAAAATGTAAATTAAAATTTCGTTATTGTCATTTAAATTTTAATTACATGTGGTTAGTAATTTAGTTGCCTACGACGGTTTTCGTGCAAAGCTGTGTTTAATAAACTGAATTGTTCAACTGATAATCTAACAAAAAAAGGACAATAAGAGTCAAATAGTAAATAAAATAAAATAAAGCGGTTAAAACGTTTAAATAACTTTAACTGTGTATATACATAGACTGTTATTCAATAATAAAGAAAATCGAGGAGTTGGTGATCTTTTTATGATTTGACTGTATGTATGGAAGGAGAGATTCAATGAATTTTCTCTTTTTTTGGACGTCTGAAGATAACTCAATCCTTGGAGTCGAAACTAGTTGCGTTTTTTACAAATTTGCGTTTTTATCATTTTTATATCATAAGCGGCTAAGTATACTTCTAATTTATTTATTGTATTTCAATTATTTCTATGTATATACACAGTTAAAGTTATTTAAATGTTTTAACCGCTTTATTTTATTTTATTTACTATCTGACTCTTATTGTCCTTTCTTTGTTAGATTATTATTTTAAATAGAGTCCTTTATTTTTCATTTTGTTTTGTTCAGCTGAGTTTGTCTACAGAAAGTACGTCTGTAATAATAATCTTCGAAAAGAATTGTCGCAAAAAGAAAAAAAAAACTATGCTAAGAAGGTTTGGGAAGGGATAGAATGTATAGAAACGTTACAGATGATGAGTCCTGTAACTCGTATGTTTCGAACTGAGAAGAAATTATGAAACATTGCAGACTGTTAATATACTTAAATAATAATATATATATTTACATACAATATATAGGTATGTTCCATGTAATTTCTAGTCTGTAATCGATTCGTCCGTGTTTCGTGTTTCGAAAATGGTAGATCGAAGGTTCTGACAGATGTGACGATTTCTTTTAAGAGACCAATAGCGAAGACTTCTGTATACTTTTGCAAAAGTATATATCTCGTATAGTCTGCGTCTATATCCTCATGAAATTCGCAATTTTCCCGAGTGTGGATACCTTTTCACAGGTATGATAAATCGTGTGGTATCGGCACTTAACGATAGTTGCCGGATAAACATAATTCTTTGATAGCTGTACACGCACACATGCATACAGAAAATCAGTCTCTCTTATACGAGCACGTTCGAAACAAAGGCGAGCTTAACGCTGTACCTCAAATTAGTTTAATAACAATTTTATACAATTCGCTACAGCATTAGCCACGTGGATACATGCCAATGTTCCCACGCATCGCACTCTGTTCTCACTCTTTCTGTCATTCTCTCATATTCTCTCGCTTTCTTTTCCTCTTACTCCTTGTGATTATAAATAGCTAGTGTTAAAAAATAGTACCTTAATATATATATATATATATATATTTTATATATATATGTATATATGCACACCATTTGTAATCTTTCGTTTCCTAACTTCAATGTGTTCTAGATTACAGATCCTATCTCCACAATATATATCCTTCACTTTCGCTGTACCCCATATCTCGTCGTATTTTTTTTTTTTCATGAATGATCTTTCTTATAATATGATACATTGTAAGTTCTTATTTGCAAAGATATAAATTAGTAATTCTGTTATATATACCGTATTCCGTTACAATAATAGGAAGAACCATATCGCTGTCAGTATCAGACTTGGTTTTATTTCGGTACTTATCTTTTGCTTTTTCTTACTTCCCAAATTTTTTATTCCACTTAAATTGACCTACTCTCAGATTGCATATTCCGATCTGCAATTTGTTATCTAAATCGTGTAACAAGCACTTCGGTTTGTGATCCGCGATATTAGCGTTAATATAATTGGAAGTAACGCGTTTAGTCTTCCCCGATTTCAAGCAATGAAAAAAAAAAAGAGACGCATATTCCGGTTCTATTGAGCGATCGATCTACTTCGCGCTGCAGACATTTTACATAAGAAACATGATAATAATTATTTTTCGAGCCACTTTTTTTTGCTTTATTTAAACTTTGAACCATTTTATTGAATTATATATAATAATTATTTTGCATAGTTCTGTAATAATTAATAGTTAAACTTCATTATGTATACTGTATTTCAAATACAGCTGTCGTGTGTTTATTTAGTCAACACTCTCACTTCTCTTTACTTATTGGTAGAGAGTCGTTGGAGTTATCGATTATATTACATACAATTAGTCACTTCATGTTATTTATCATAATAATGTCCTTTTTAAATACTCAAGGGATTGTTTCTGCGTTTTCATTGTTTATGAAAAAAAAACACAACTGTAATTTGATTTCGGGTGTTGTATTTTCCTTTCAACGGGGAAACGCATATTTAAGTCTTTTTAATAGACGATAATGCAATCGATCACAGTATCGTCAACAGCCCTGATTCGCACTAGTTGACAATTCCTCGACACTGGAATTATCGTCCGGTTCTTGTAGATCGGTGAAAAACGACGTAAGTGTGACGAGTGAGACGCTATGGCCTTCAACATCCGCTCCTTCTGGCGGTTTCCGCTGCCACGTCAGGAACGCGTCGCTTGATATCACATTGTCCATCCACAATCTATTCATAATGCAAACGAGAGTACCTATAACAAGATAATAATAATTTAAATTATCAATCTAAAAATGTTTAAAGTAATTCTTTTTACAAGTCATATCAGTATCCTTTTGGCTTAACAACACAAAGATAATTTACATATTGTAATATATCTTTATCTCTAAATAAAATGTTATCATCATAAATTTCGTATGGATTTGTTTTTATTATTCATAGAAAAAATGTATAAACATATGTATATATATTTTATTTTGAAAGAAATATAAAATATTAAGAAGTAAAACAGAACATGTCGGTGCAATAATAAATGTAAAAACATTTTACTTACCAGGTGGAAATTCGATATTCTTAATGTATCTTTGAATTGCATAAAGGCATTGCAATTCTAATAATTCGTTCGCATCGACATACCGTTGAATCAATGTTTGCAAATTGGCAAAAGTTTCTACATTCAATTTCCAAGTACCGTGGTGTCGTTCTGCACATACAAAGGAAAAAAATGGATAAAATATCGATATAAAAAATTTTAATTATTATCATAAAAAAAGTCATCAGTATCCTTTTGGCTTGACAACACAAAGATAATTTATACATATCTTTACTCTAAAAAAAAAATATTATCATCATGCATGTTTTATTACAAAATTAGACAAATAATAATTTAAAATAATGTATTATGATATGTACCTAATGAAGTTTCTAAGATGGCAGTCATTAAATGTCTTATAAACTGTGGATCCTTCTCTCTATCACCAACATTTGCCTAAAACAGTAAGTTAATTGTGAGAAAATTATCAATATAAAAATCGTTATATAGAGAACACGTGTGTCAATTTTAACATACTTACAGTTATCCAACTACAAATTTCATCGAAAGAAGTATTCTTTTTCATGAGCCTTACAAGATTTTCCTGAATTTTCTCTAATGAGAGTTGCTCGATAGCAGTGGAGTCTTTGGCACTATTATAATCACCAGTCAGAAACTCCAAATTCTAAAAGTAAGAATAATGGAATCAATAAGACTGTGCACGCATAAGACTAGATTACTGTTTATTACACAAGTTGGACTAATAAAGATAGAAATTGAATCTTAACCTTTCGTTTGTCCGGTTTATCTTTAAGCTACCTACTTCTTACAAATAATAACACGAGCAAGTGTTATTAAAATGCTTAGATTGACACTGTTCTACCACGGAAAATAAAACAAAAGATGAAGTGATGCAATGTATACATACGTATTCCTGTATAATCTTCTCAGCGTTTTCTCGTTCCGGATCAATTAATGTGTGTAGTTGTAGGTTGCTTTGGTCCCACTTGTCGGCAAGCCACTTAGGTCCTTTGTTACGAGATACTTTCTTTAGAAGTTCTCCAAGGAATTTTCCTACAAAGCCTTGCCTCCTCAAACTTATACATGTACTCTCCAATTCGGATAATGCGATAGCTCCGTCCTCTATCGAATGTGCTGCAACACAGATTGTCATGCGTGTGAATCGATTTCAAATTAATAAGACAAAATAATTATTATGTATTGCTTCAGGCCTGTTGAGCTGTAAGTACCCGCACGGCATTTTTCTATGGTGTAAAATGTAATCGTCATCACAAAAGAAACATTTTTATCTCTATCTTATCATTATGTAGCTAATTCGTAAAAAGATGTATGTATTACTTACACAATATTTCAGCTATATAAGTCCAAATTTTCGGTATATCAATAACCAAATCATCTACTATTTCCAGCACTTCTTCCAGTCTAAAACAAATTTTCATTGTATTTGCAACAGTTTTAGTGAAAAAACCTGTCATTAAAAAATTTATTTTATGCAAATAATATCAGTTTTGGGGGGGAATCTTCATTAACTCTGTTTAAGGATTTCCATCACTAATTAATACATAACTTGCTCAGTTTATTTTTACTTTGCAATAATTTACTGTATAAATAAAGAAATAACTTACCCATTCTTGAAACACTCGACAGGCAGAATACTTTGCCTAAGCAAATGGGATAACAATTTTGAGATCAGTTCTCGTTCAATAGGCGACTTTTCGAGAACGTAATTAATACACTCGCGTGTAAGTTTGGCAAATGTAGCGTTATCAAATTTCTGTTGAATCTCTAATGCCGTATTCTGTAAATAAAAATAAATATGCATTAATATTGAATTCTAGATCTCGAAGAATAATTATAATAAAATTTTT